CTGGCTCAGCCCCTAGCCCCCACCCCCACCTCCGTCCTGCTGCTGGTCCGGTAGGAAGCATCTGGCTGGGCAGGCACCGGGGTGCTGCCGGGGCCCGAGTTGCGGGTTAACGTCTGAGAGAACACGGCAGGGCCTGATGGGTTCAGGTCGGCAGAGCAGGGGCCAGGCTTCACTACATGAAAACAGGTCACAGAAACAGGAGGGAGGCTCTCGCTTAGTCGGCCACGTGTCCAGGTGAGTAGGTGGCGACCTTCAGGCCAGTGTCCATGCCGTCCCATCGTGCCATTTGGAGCTGGGAACCTCTGGTCTTGTGTCCTGTAAGGACTGTCCTGCCGATCTGGCCATCGTGTCGTCGCCACCATCCGTGCTGTCCACCACGTCTACCGGCCACCCCCCCTCCCATCGCCCCGTGTTCTAGTAGAGGTGTGGGGCTTCCCACACGCAGTGCAGCCTGCCCCTTGGTCAGGGCGCCAGCAGCTGGTTCTCAGTAGGCGGCTAAGGCTCCCTGGCACGCTTAAGTCCAGCCTGAGCCTGCTGCCCGTAACGGGCCCGTGTAGCCCGTGTAGGAAAGGGACACTCCACACGTGGGGATGCGGCGGCAGTCCGTGCTTTTTGTTGGCATTGGCTCATTGTTGGGGAGAGCCCAGCCCGGACTCTGGAGCGTTCTCAGGGCAGCCTCCATTCCATGGTTGGTGCAGCCGCGTCTGCGAGGGGGTGACTGTGCAGGGGCAGGGCCCGGGCCCCTAGCCTTGCCGGCTGTCAGCTGCATGGCTCCAGGTGCCAGTGTCGCCTCATCTGTGGGTCCCCGGCTACCAGCAGTGCCGTCCCTGTGCGCCTCTGCAGGGTTACATGGTCAGACGGAGGGGCACAGCAGGGTGCAGTGTCAGCAGGCATCAGCCGCAAGACAGAACGGTACACAGGCAGCCTATCCAACAGGGCCAGCCGCCCCTGGCGTCCGCCATCACACACTGGCTGGGGTCTGCCACGAGGTGACCACCTGGTGCTGGAGAGGCATGGGGTGTGAAGGGGCAAGACGGGGACAGGCCAGGGACCGGCGTGCTGACCTGCTGGCCGGCTGCAGCCCTCCATCCCACCCTGCTGTCCTTAGAGAGGCCTCACTGTAGAGGGAGCCTGATGGGATTGAACCGTCTCAGCCTGGGCCAGTGCGTCAGGTGGGGCTGTGTGTTGGGGTAGGTTCAGGACGGGTTTGGGGGCTCTGGATCCTGGAAGAGTTTGGGCCTGGGGACCCTTCCTGGTAGGGTCTCAGGCAGGCCTTCCTCGCTCAGCTGTTCCCGGGCCGACAGCACGTGCAGAAGTTGTTGGAGACACTGCAGGAGTGGCTGGCCAGCCTCCCCCTGGACAGGATTCCCTACGGTGCAGTCCTCGACCTGGTCAACAATAAGATGCGGGTGAGCTGGACACCTGGCCTTGCAGGCTGCAACTGCTTCTCTCCTGGACCCTTGCCCCAGCCCCGGGTGGGGCCTGGACCCATCGGTGAGAGAGAGAGGAAAACCCCTGGCGTTGGCCGGCCCGTCCTCACCGCCATGGCACGGGCCCCGCCCTCGCAGCCAGCTGCAGACCGGTCTCTGCCGCTCCTCTTCCCATGGCGACTTTGCCGCCACCCCTGGCCTGCCTGCAGTGCTGCCAGTGCCTCGGGGGACGCTGGCTGGGCACGGCGTGTGAGAAGCGCACATCGGGCACGTGGGCCTGGCTGGGTTTTGTTCTGCAATTTTAACTTCAGTAAAGTCATCTAAGCTCACGCATCAGGCCTACAGAACGCTGTGTTCAGTGAGTATACCAGTTGGCTGGGCTGCCACCAGGCCAGGTGCTAATGAGGAGGGACTTCCGGGACGCGATATGTCAGAGCCCCTGCTGTCCGTCCGTCCGTCCCCACGTCCCCTCCTCTGCCACCCCTGATCCAGAGCAGCAGCTTCTCTGCCAGTCCAGAGAGCCGGGCAGTGAGAGAGAACCCCGGGCTGCAGCTTTCCCACAGCTGCGCCCTCTCCGCTCCCTTGGCCCACAGGCGCTCTGGTCAGAGCACCCCGAGCCACGACGCTGTCACCTTGGGACCTGCTGTCTGCAGCGTGGAAGCGGTGTCACTGGGTCTCCTGCCCCCTGCTGCCTTTCACCTTTACTCCGGGTGGAGGCCAGCTGGGTACCGGGGGGAGTCGGCTCGGGGGGCTGGTCAGCCCTGCCCAGACCACCACCTGGCAGTCTGCACACACCCAGCTCTGGCTCCGGAGTTCGCAGGCTATGGCATCCAGGCTAAGCCACCCACTGGCTTCCTAAAAGCAATCTGAGAGGGCCAGCAGGTGGTTTAGCGGTTAAGGTGCTGTTCTCCCACATGGCCGACTGTGGTTCGAGTCCCAGACCTGGCAGCTTGAATAATGCTGGTCATGTGTGCGTGCATGCCCAAGGTCCCAGGGGGAGAATGGAGAAGGGACTGTGGCATGGCGCTCTCCCTTGGGGGGTGACCTCTCACTTAACCTTCACTGTCCTCCCTTGTCTCTCCAGCAGGTGTGCACACCACACCCTATGGCAGAACCTTTTTAGAGGTGGTCTGAGGCCGGTCCGGGATTGATCTGTTTAATTGCTAGTTGCCTTTTCTTTCAGTACTCATTATATAATGAGTTCTAATCTGGAGTAAAGATGCATCTCTGTGCTTTCTGGAGATGTAGATAAACTCTCCCGTTCCCCCAGAGGGTGGAAGACAGGCCACATTTCCATGGTTTCAGAACTCCTTAGTGTAACAGGCACTTTTTTTCTAGGTTTGTTTTGTGTTGAAGTCGCAGTGCAGGTGGGGAGTTCTGCTGAACGCTGACCCCGAGTAACCAACCACTGCCGTAGCCATGACGGAAGACCACGACAGCTTAGCTTGTTATTGCTGGGGGCGGGCAGGGGGGGGTGTGCTCACCGAACAGGGACGGACAGAGAGAGAGAAAAATCACCTCCCAGGGAGCGTGGGCCGTTCAGTCCCTTCTCCTTCGGTCTCCTATCGGGATTTTGGGCGCGCAAACACACACACACATACTCAGTGGGATTTTCAAGCCACTAGGTCTGGGACTTGAATCACACAGTTGACCATGTGGGGTCCCAGGCCTCAACCTCCATGCCATCTGCTGGCCCTCAACTTTACTTTTTAATTTAACAACAACCTCTTATTATTTGTGTTCCCCCTCCCCCCAGATTTCTGGAATACTCCTTCCTAATCACATAAAGTGGGTTGGATGCCAAGGAAGCCGGCCTGAGTTGAGGGGCTACCCATGCTCTCTCTGGAAACTGTTCCACACGCTGACCGTCCGCGCCTCCACCCACCCACAGGCCCTGGCTGGCACAGGTACGCCGTCCCCGCAAGGCCCACAGCGCACACGTGGAGGCTGGCTTGCTGTCGTGAGGGTGCCCTGGTCCTGGGCATGGGGCAGGCTGTGAGCAGAGGCCACGGGGTGGGCACAAGCCCCTCTCAGCTCTCAAGCTTGTGCTTGGCTGACCTGCAGGAGGTCGATAGCAGGGGCAGGGGCTGCCGGGGGTCCTAAGTGTGGACTCCCCTTGTTTTGCATTAAAAAAATAGGAAAATACAGACCAGCAGTTGGCGTAATGGCTATGTCGCTGGACTCCCATGTAGTCGACTGTGGTTCACATCCCGGACCCAGTGGCTTAAACTCACGCCGGGCGTGTGTGCGTGCATGCCCAAGATCCCGAGAGGAGAATGGGGGAGAAGGGATTGCGGCATGGCCATCCTCCCGGTGGGTGATTTCTCGCCTTCTGTCTCTCTGTCTCTGTCTTTCTGGTGAGCACATGTGCCTTATAGCAAAAACCTCTTTTAAAAATAAAAAATGAAAAACAGGAAAATAAGGGGGACGTGCTGGAGAGCGCTGGTTGCCAGTTGTGAGAGCTCAGTCCAGCGGGGCGCGGCTCAGCCAGCCGCTTTTGGCTAGTGCTGCTTGGCTCGCCCCTCTGCCTGGGAATAGCTTAGGCCCGTGGCTCACACCGGCCAGTGCGGGTGAGGACGATGGCCCAGGCCTCGGCATGGAGCTACAGCTCCACTGCCACGTCCCGTCAGCCCTGCTGGACTCGCCGATGGGGAGGAGCCTCCACCTGTCAATGGCAGAAGCAGCACTGTCACCTTCCGAGGGAGCGTGTAGGGCGGAGGTGCTGTGGTTGCCATCTTTGAAAACTTCTGCCACCCCAGTGCGTGTCACGGTGACCGTGGAGTAACTGTCTCCAGGGGCTTGGTATGACATGGGGGAAGGTACCCTCAAGTCCTAGGGATTGTGGGGACAAAAGAGTAGAGCGTTTCTTAGGAGGGATTTTAGGAGTTCTCCAAACAAAAGTTGAAACCAGAGCATCAACCTGCCTGATACCGTGTAAACCCTCTCCTGAAACACAAGCCCGAGACACCAAAACTTCGTGTTCACCTGGAAAATTCTGGTACAGAACAGCTCGTACAGCTATGGCTCCCTGCACGCGTGCACAGCACAGCCCTGGGAGCAGCAGCCGGGCCCCAGGCTGCCTTGCACACCCTGCAGGATGGTCCTTGTGCAGCGAGAGCCAAGAGCGGCCCGCTCCCCGTGCCTGCCGGGCGGACGGAGCCTCGGAGGAGTGCAGCTCCTGGTGAGGGAATTGGGTCAGGCGAGACCCCGGGATTAAGTCTGGGAGGGTGTCTTCTCCTTATTGTCCATTTAACCCGTCTGCTAGAGCGCCCGCCGCAGCCGCTAATCCTCCCACAGGTAGAGAGGGTTAGGGTTCTTGTCCACTTTACAGATTAGGGCGCCCGCAGGGGGCTTGGTGGGAAGACGAGGGGATTACCCGGGTGTGAGGCAGATGTCTGGGCGGGCGGGCGGCGGCCCTTGCGTCCCGACAGACGCTGCGGTGGGAGGGCTGGGACTTGGCCTGTGGGTATGGTGGAGGGCTGCCCCGCACAGGTGGAGCGACGGCGCGCGAGCAGAGACCTCTCGCAGGGCTGCCTCGACAGCACAGTCCCGTCCTCCGAGCGAGCCCCCCTTCTGCAACTATTTCACTGCATTTCTTTTAATGCCGAGATTTAATCTGCCTTAATCTCTTGCTCTTGCGTTTGTATGTCCACTCCCCATGTTGTCTGAGCAGCCAGTTGGTCCCTGTGCCGCTCCTTTTAGCTCCTGGGGCGCTCTGCGGCCACTCCCCCCTCCTGCAGGTAGGGTGCTGTCTGGAAGCCCCCTGCATTCATTCCCAGACCCTTCGCTTGCGCTGCCCCATCGCGGCTGCTCTGACGTGCGGTTATGTAGCTCCAGGGTGACCTCCGTGGCTTACAGATGGAGCCATTCCGCCTTGTTTGCAAGGGCAGGCCTTGAGAACACGCCAGCCAGCTCTCTGCCATTGCCCTGAGGAACCCTGGGCAGCTGCCCCTCCTCCCGAGGACTGGCCACAGCACACAGTGGGGACAAGCCAGGAGTTGCGTCCTGAGGCCACAGATAGGCATGGGCGTGGGGATGGTTAGGTTCTCGGAGCAAGATAGTTCAGCCCAGAGCGAGTAGCCCACCGCCCAGCGCCACCCTGGAGCTGTTGTAGGCCAGGAGGCGGCACAGGCAGCCAGCAGACCCGGAGGAGCCCTCGCCCCAGGTGCAGTTGCTCTGGGTCCCAAGGCTGAGGCCACCAACAGAGCCGGGCAGGGGAGCTACCAGCACGGCCCCAGGATGGGCTCGAGCCGTGTGTCTGAGTGCTGTGGCCCGTGTTCCCGGCCACCCGTGTCCAGCTGGGGTGGGCAGTGCAGCTGATACCCGGTGTCCACAGCGAGCATACACGGCCGGGCCACGTCTCCAGCCATGCTGGTTCCTGGTGCGTCCCAGCCTGTGCAGACATGGTGCCGCCCTGCCCAGGCATCCCGGTCTGGTCTAGCAGGCACTTCCTTTCCCGCAGGCTTTGAGGACGACCCCCAGGCCGTGCTGCAGACCGTGAGGAGGTACGTCCGCTCCTTCTTCGGGTGCAGAGACTGTGCTGACCACTTTGAGGACATGGCCGATGCGTCCATGGCTTCGGTGAAGACCGCAGACCAGGCTGTCCTCTGGCTTTGGAGGGCGCACAATGTGGTGAGCGGCCGCCTGGCAGTGGAGGGGCCACCGGCTCCGGCTCCGGCTCCGTGTGGGCACCCTGGGAAGGTGGGTGGAACCAGGCAGGCAGGCATGGCCACCGCGGACGGGAGCCCCCAGCAGAACGA